CTTCTTTCTTTTCTTTTCTTTTTCCAGTACTGGGGATTGAACTCAGGGCCTTATGGTTGCTAGGCCAGGCACTCCACCTCAGTATTGACAAAAAAGGGGGGAAATAAAGAAGGAAAGAAGGAAGGAAGAAAAAGGAAGGAAGGGAGAGAGGGAGGGAGGGAGGAAGGAGGGGAGGGGGAAGAGAGATTAATGAGTGCTACAGTAAAACAAAGGAAAACTGGAGTGAGGAATGTTACCTGGAGACCAGAAGAGGGTCACCTCACCCTAGAGGTTAAAACAGTCAACGAAATAACGTGTGATTATGTATAGGACAAGGTGTACACCCCCCCCCCCTCCATTTCTGTAACCTGCTCTAAATGGTATATAAGGAAAGCCCCCTTTGCTCTTGGTGCTCAGCCTTTGGACAAGAGCCCACTGACTCACTGCTGGCTTGCTTAATAAACTTGTTTCCTGAAAGCTTTGGTGCCCTCTCAGTCTCTGTCTGAGCCCTCCCACAACATTTCTGGGGACTTGTGAGGGATTTGGAGGGTGGTGTATTTACCTCATCACCAGCTCAGTGTCCCTGGCCCACTGGGAGGGCCACCCCTTCCAGGTGCCACCGGATGTGTTGATGCAGGGGAGGGAGAATCTCTCCTGGTAAGCAGGAAAGGCAAGTTCTGGTTTCACAAAGGAACCTGGAAGGGCTCAGGACCCAACCTGGGAGTCCTGCTCATGAGACTCGTAAGAACCTGGGTTCAAATTCAGGCCTGCCTCATGAGGCAGAAGGGGAGTCTGATCAACTCTCAAAAGGCACCCTAGTAACCATCGGTTTTGGGGGTGAAACCATGTCTTTCAAGTTCAGGGAGTGGGGTAGAAGTACTGTGCTGTGTGAGAGTGTGTGAAAGTGGGCGCCTGAGACGTAGCCTGGTTACAAGGCAATGTGGAGTCCTGATCTGTGGGTCCGTGGTGAACTCATATGGTATAGGGTGAACCCTTACAGGGCCCCCAATCCAGGGTTTATATAGACTCACTATGGCCCAGAGATGCCTAAATATCTGCGAGGGGAGTGGCCAGAGACAGACAAAGCAAGTGGTGTTGTTTTCCCATGTGTGCTGTGTGTACCTCTCCACAGCACTCTCTGTCTAGATGTCTGGCAGTGAGAGGAGGTCAGAGTGAGAACATCCCCTAGATCCTTAAGAAGGGAATTAATGGAGATTATGGGCTCAAGCTGACTCCTGGCAAGCTTAGGACCTTCTGTGAAATAGACTGGCCTGCTTTTGGTGTAGGATGGCCCTCGAGGGGTCATTAGATAAGGTCACAATCAACAGAGTTTTTAAAGTGGTTGTAGGGGAGCCTGGAACACCCAGATAGTTTCCTTACATTGACTGTGGGCAGGATGCAGTCCTCAGTCAGCCCATGTGGCTAAAGCCCCACCTACAGAGAGCATAGTAGTCAGGGCAGCAGCAGCTTCCAAGTACAAGGAAAAATGTAAAAAGTCAAAAAAACCCAAGGAGTCCCCATCCCCCTTAGGTACCACTGTGCAGATTAGAGAATATCTAGGAGCTGCAGGTTTCTGCTGGATCTGGATCCCTAATTACTCTCTCTTGGTAAAACCCCTTTGAGCCACAAAGGGGGAAGAATGGGAACCCATGGTATGGGGAGAGGAGAAAAAAAAAAAGAAGTCCTTTAAAGAAGTTAAGAGGGCACTCACAAATGCCCCTGCTCTGGGCCTGCCAGGTACGATAAAGCAATTCTTCCTATATGTACATGAAAACTGGAAGCTGTAGGAGTCTTGACCCAGCTGCTAGGCTCCTGGCAGTGCCTGGTGGTCTATTCATCAAAGCAACTTGATGCAGTTTCCCAAGGCTGGCTGCCCTGCCTGTGTGACCTAGCGCCACTGCCATCTTGGTGGCTGAAGCAGACAAACTTACTCTGAGACAAAAACTCACAGTTTGAGTTCTGTTTTGATCTCATGGAATATAAAGAAAATTATTGGTTCACAAACTCACAAATGGTCACATATCAAAGCGTGTTATAAAAAATCCGCACATCCAGCTAGAGGTTGTTAAGACTCTAAACCCAGCCACCCTACTACCGGTTAATTCAGGCCCAACAGAGCAGGACTGTTTAGAGGTTGTGAAAGGTGGGCAACTTGGCTAAAAGGGGAGGTCTATATCTCACATGGGCTCTTCTATGAAAAAGGGAAGAAACCCCCAACTGCACTCTTGGTGCCTGTAACCCTGTAAATTTCACTATTTTCAACTCAATAAAACAGGCTGGGAAGTTAGGGAACATTTGGCATTTTAATCAATGGAGAGGAAACAGACCCCGATATTTTGTTGCATTTTCAACTCATCATGATCATTCATGAGAGCTCCTCACACCAGGCCTTTCACTTCTTTTCCAAGGAGATGCAAATGAGTTTCCCATCTCAATTACAACCAAAGAACTGTTCCTCTCACTTGCTGAGTCTATAACACAAACTCTGAATGTAACTTGGTATTATGTTTGTGGAGGAATGAATATGGGAGACCACTGGCCATGGGAGGCACAAGAGCTAAACCCACAAGAGCCCTTTAATGAAACCATTCTCCCAGCCACGGAGAGAGCATTTGGCTCCTAAAACCCTCTATTATTGGGAATTGTGGTATATCCCGTCCAAAAGGCCAATTCTTCACCCTGGTAGGGGAACTTGGTCTGCTCAGGACAAAAGTTTTACTACTCGGGAGACTCAGTGTTGGGGGTTTCCCAATCACACGGAGCCCCAACCTCACCTGCTGGCTAACTTCCCTACAATAGCCTGGAATAATCTCAATCTGAGTAGCTGCTGTTTATAGATTAATGACAAGATGAAAAAGCTTGCCCAAGTCCCTGTGCAGACCTAGAAGGGATGGAGCCCCAGTGATCCACTGGGGGCTGATTCTCAACCCCAGGTGGGTTCAAGACCTTAATAGGAACAACGTTCCTTATTTTAACAGCATGCCTGATATCACCCTACCTAATTCCTGGTACTGCGGTCTTTATCCAGATGATGCTCTTTGACCCAGAAGTGGGTCTGAGCATCAAAGGGGGGAATATGGCAGGAAGGCAGGAAGAGGGAAGGGAGATAAGGAGTGCTACAGTGAAACAAAGGAAAACCGGAGTTGGGGAGTGTTACCTGGAGACCAAAGGAGGGTCACCTCCCTAGAGGTTAAAACAGCCAATGAAATAACATGTGATTATGTATGGGACAAGTTGTACCCTCCATTTCTGTAACCTGCTCTAAATGGTATATAAGGAAAGCCCCCTTTATTCTCGGGGCTCAGCCTTTGCACACGAGTCCACTGAGTCGCTGTCAGCTTGCTTAATAAACTTGCTTCCTGAAAGCTTTGGTGCTCTCTCTGTCTCTGCCTGAGCCCTCCTGCAACGGAAGGAAGCAACCCAGATTTAGAATCACACTTGAAGTTGTGCTAACAAGATACCCCAACTTGATATGTGGTTCCTGACAATCGAATATTTTTATCTTCATGTGAAGTACAGAAAGAGCCACAAACCAGACCTCAAAATGGATTCTAAGAGAAAATACCCTTTAAAAAAAATTCCCTGCCTATCAGAAGGCAGACCAAGAACTTCATCCTGCCACCCACAAACTCCCCAGACAGCTTTTGTTTGGAAGGTTTTACTCTGGCCAGATCACAGGGCCAGCATCCTCTTCTCTGAATCTCTTGTTTCTTCCATGGCACGTTCCAGAGAATAAGAAACCAATCTGCAGTGGGCCATGGGCCTCGGGACTACTAAGCAGATGGGGACAGGCACAAGGCAGTCTCCTAGCCACAAGGGTATGTAGATACTGGCTGTTTGTCTGCATTTTACAGAGTGGAGTTTTTAGCCAGAGTTGCCCCATGATGGTAAGATGCTGATGCTATTGTACACTAGTCTCTTTTTAACCAGTTTTATGGTTCTGTTCTTATGAGACTGACAGGCTACCTACTGCACTAATGGGGTACCTTGGTTCTGTTCTTCTGTAGGAAGGCAGATATAGATCCTTTAATACATTTCAGAGATTCCTATTAAATTTAAACGGCCTGCAACCTTCGTATTACAGGCTTAGGGTAGAGGAGTTAAAATTCAGCAATCTTTTTGTTTTGTTTTGACCCTTGCAAAGCAGGCGCCCTTCCCCTTGAGCCACACCTCCAGTCCTTTTTGCTCTGGTTATTTTTTGGAGATAGGGGAATCTTAGGAACTATTTGTCCAGCGTTGGTCTCGAACCACGATCCTCTCTATCTCAGTCTCTCAAGTAGCTAGGATTACAGACGAGAGCCACTGGCACCCTGCTAAAATCCAGCAATCTTTAACGATCTCAATCTCTTGCTCACTTAAGTAATTGGTATAAAATCCTATTTAAATGAAACTTTAAGTTTTTAAAGGACCAATTAGTTCAGCATTTCCGAGAGAACCCGAAGCGATTTGTTTTTTCCCTCGGGAAACCGAGTGAGCGAGCGCGCGAGGCGTTTTCTCCTCGCTCCTTTGTGTAGCGCTCACCCCGGAGGTCAGGCAATCACGAATGCCAAAGAAACATCAAAATAGAAAGTGTCGGCGTGTGCCATCATGCAGCCGCAGCCTGCCTGACGATTAGGAAAGTGTTTAAATATCGGATCGCCGGCAGGCGTCCCGGCCCGGGCCTGCGCAGGGAGCGGTCTGAGCCCCCGCAGAGCGCGCGGTCGGGGAGCGGGAAAGCCCCCCGCGCGCCCTGCAGCCGCTTCGGGGCCGCTTGTTCCCTCGCTGTCGGTCCCGGGCTGCGATCGCTTGGGACCTGAGGTGGGACCTGCCCAGGAGGACGTGGGCGCGGGACCGGGACGCGCTCTCCGGGTGGCCCAGGGACCCCCAGGCCCGCGCGCGCCCAGCCGGCTTCGCCGCCCCGCAGGAAGTGAGACGAGGAAGGACGGCGGAGACCCGGAGGAGGGCGACGAGAGGAGAGGTGGAGCAGAGAGGAGCAGCGGGACGCCCCGAGCCACCGAGGTTTGGTCCCTGCGCGTGGGAGCAACAGGACCTCCAGTCCTCCCCGGTCCCAGAGGCCATCCAGCCCCGCTTGGGCGCTCGTCTGCCCTTCCCCCGCCCCCATGGCTTCTCCGAACGACCCTCTGCGAGCAGGTAAAGCGACACCGTGCCGCGCCCTCACCTGGAGGGGGCAATGGCCAGGCGCCCGCGGCTGCGCGGGGCCATAGAGGTCGAACCTCGGCGACCCCTGAGAGCGCCTGGGGACACCGGGATCCGCGCTAGAGCCGGGAGCGGATCAGCGTCCCCCCCTCTCCGCGGGCCACCCCTGCGAGCGGCTGCGCGCGCCTTCCGCGCTGTCCCGGACGCGCGGTCCCTCGTCCCACGCCGCGGCCCCCGCAGGGCGCTTTTGTTCTGGGCGGCGGGGGCCAGGTTGAAACAAGTCGCGCACATCTCTCCGAGACAGAGAGCAAGGGGCCCGATTTCAGGTTCTCCTCCCGGGCTCTGCCTTGGCTCTCACTCACGAGCCTTCCCCCGTCTCTTACTCTCTCCTGATTTTCACTTTTCTGGAATGGGTTGGTTTTGTCGATATTGACCCTCGGAGCTGTTTTGATAAACGAGAGTCCGCAGAACCAATGGGCCCATGCCACCTGTGGAGCCCTCACCTGGGAAGGCCTTTAATTAGAATGGCCTCTGGTCCTGACCTTACTCTAAAACGTGCGTTTGTACCTGAGGCCAGCGTCTAGCTTTTTCTTTAATCTGGATTAAAAATCCTGCACAGAAATTCTGTCTCCCTGCTCTCCCACAACCTGGGCGGGGAACTCCACGGATGTGTGTGGGACCCACAAGTGAACGAGTGGTGACTATCTGGTTTTGTGGGGGTTGGAAACGCCGGGGAGAGCCACACAGAACCAGCCACAACTGCTCGATAGACGAGTTTTGTTATTTCACTTCTTGAACTTGGGCAAGGACAGAGCTGGGCTGTTCCCCGGGGCTGATCTGTGGCTTGAGCAGTTAGGAGCAGACAATGTGTCTAAGTGGTCAGAACAGTAAACCCAACGGCTACAATGGCACTGTGGTTTGGGGACAGGGGAGGAGTTTCCTGACAATTTTAAAGAAAGATTTAAATTCTTCTCCAAGTGGGGAGCGGTAAACATTTTATCCACTAGAGATGGAAAAGAAGTTGCCTGGATATCCTTCCCTTCCCCCATGCCCATTGTTTTGGAAAATAGAATGGGGAAGAACTAAAAAGAGAGATCTTGCCCAGCAGCCATGCCTGCTAAGACCCTAAATGGGTCGAGGGGTGTTTGGGACCAGATTTCAGTAATAGTGGTTCCAGATCTCAATAAGTGGTGTTGGTGGGAGGGATTAAAAGAAGTCGCTAAATGGAGGTACCTGTGAAGTCTGTGTAGGTCCCCCAAACTCTTTGGCACCAGAGAAAGTGGGGGCTGGGAACCAGCGAAGCGCTGACATGAATGATAAAAAGCCCTGGGGAGACAACAGTGCACTGAGGCCACGAGGGGGTGACAGTAATAGCAGTGGGGATGTAGAATTCCAGTGATGGTCTTCTTAGTCGCTCCACCCAGCCAAAATGGATGTGAACCACCTGGAAAGGGGGGCTTGGAAATCAATCCGTTTGTGTGTGTGTGTGTGTGTGTGTGTAGAAGGGATGATGAGGGCAGGGCGTGTGGACAGAGCCTGGCTCTCTGACTTGAGCAGGTGGATGCCATACCTGTGGTGAAATCTTTAGGGAGAGCTGGACTGGGGCTCCCCACCAGGGAGAGAAGCCTCCTAAGATTGGGCTCCCTCTGTCACCTGGCAAAGGATGGTCAAGAACACATCTGGACCTCTGAAAGATGATTGAGTGTCCCTTCCTACTCTGGGATTCCATCAAGCAAATGAGGTTCTTCCATCTGCGCATGTCGGTTTTCCATTTCTCCTGTTTCATTCAGTTTTTGCAATCCACAGGACACCCCCCCCTTCCTTTCTGTAATGAAACTACTGATGGTGCCAGTATGTGGAATTCGCTAAAGAGAATTTTCACCTCTTCACCCCAGTCCACATTCCCATACTTTCACCTGGGATTTTCACATGTGCTTGCGTTTTGCCCACCATTTTCCAAAAGGTGCTCAGAGTGAGGCTTGAGAACAAGTCAGATCCAGTTGCTCCTCTGCTAAGAACCACTTCAGCCTCCACTCTGTGCCACCGATCCTGTCCATTCCTGCCTGTCCCTTTAACCGCCTTGCCTACTGTCCCACCTGGCCCCTTGCTCTCTACAAGACAGGCAAAGGGCCTCCTTTCCTTTCCTTGAAAACCCACGTGTGTGTCTGGTGCCTCCTGATGCCTGGAAAGGCTCGCTTCACATTCCCCATCCAGTTACCTCCTACTCCTCCAGACTGCTGCCCAAAGGTGACCTAGCCCCAGGTGACACACTCTCAGCACGTCCTGTACCTTCCTTTCTGGCCCTCATCACTGTTTCTGAGATTTGATTTGGCCCCTTTTAGAAAGTAAGCTCCTGGCAGAGCTTATGGCATCTTAAATCGCCAGCACAGTTCTCAGCACACTTTAAGCCTGGCATAAACACTTATCGCATTAGTGAGTGAATGAAGGATACAAAATTTAAGTAAATGTGCTTCAAAGGTGGACCAAAAGAAAAAGTGCTCTCTCATATTGATTCCTTAGAAGCTATTTACAAGAGCGTGTGTTAACTAAGTTTACATTGTAATTTTTTTTAAAAAAGAAGAGGTCTCTTGTATTTCTATATATACATAACAAAGATATACTATGCTATGTTACAAAGTTAACTTAGAAAACAACTTTTTATACTGAGAAACTTGACAAGGCAGTTGAGGTCACAAGTCAATGGAGCTTGTTACAGGGTAAACTCTACCACTAATAAACAGTCTAATATCTAGACTAATACCTAGTCTAATACCTAGTAACCCAGAATTAGCCACAAAATATGGATAAAGTGTGTCTCGTTCTGGGTCATGCAGATATAAAGGGGGCACAGAGGGTGGGGCTGAGGAGGTGGGCACCTGTTTGGCTTTGCTGCAGTGAACGAAGTCTGTGACTACAGTGTGTAGCAATACAGCTCTCCCTTTGTTCTGGAGTCCAGGACTCTGGGAACCCTGGCCACCAGCCCAGAAACACCCCTTTGGAGGTATCTCACCTGTCACCCACCCTTCTAGGACTCCTGTGGGTGAGCATGGGTCCTAGGTGGCACCAGGGACTGTACCCAGGACTAAAGGGTGAATCACTTCCACGTTGAACAACGTGCCAAGTTGAACCAGCCACCAAAGAGTGGGGGCAATGTGATTTTACCTTCTCCCTCCCTTCTACCCTCTGTCCTTTCCCTCCCTGCGGGGTGTTCCAATGTGCCCTGCATGTCTCTTACTTCCTTATAACTCTGCTGCTTTCTTTTCTTTTTTCTTTTTTCTGCCTGAGTATTTCCTTCATCTGAATCTCCACTTGCCTCCCTGGGTTTCATCTCTTCCCCTCCTCCTTGCCCTACCCCTCTTCAGTCTGATCTCTGTCACTGGGTGAGGCTCCTTTCCAGAGAAGTTGTTCTAAGACCAGACCCTTTTCCCAGCTAGGTCAGCTCCATGATAGAGGGGGCAGAGGCCATCAGTGCCACCAAAGACACCCACACAGCCTCTCCCGGCCTTTGAGAGAATCTGTGATCCTGAATGTGCTCTGGTCTACAGAGCTTCTTTAGAACTGGTAATGAAAACATCTGTGGGTCGAAAGAATGCTATGACACAAAAGAAAAAAAGAAAGGAGCTTAACTCTGCAACCCCTAGTTCAAAGTCGCCTTTCATTCTTCACTAGAAAGCGCAAAGGGCCCCACTCTTGGCTCAGGAGGATCAGAAAGGCAGTTCTGTACGCTTCTCTCTTTGTTTTCTCTGAAAGGACGTCTTTGGAGATGTTTGAACTTCCTGTGAGAAACTGATTCTAGAAGCTATTGGCTCCTCGCTAATGTGACAAGTAAAGGGAGACGTCAGCCTGTGGCAGTGCAGCCCTCAGGCACCCACGAGTCCATCTTGGCATCAGGCTGCTGCGTGCGGTGCTTGGTCACTGCACTTCTGACTCTAGGTGATGAGGTTTGGTCTTTGAGCTAAGGATGAGTTGATGAGATTTTGGATTTAGAGTTGAACCTGGACTGACTAAGGTTTGGGGGAAGATCAGGATAGGCAAATATTCTACATGTGGGTAGGGCATGACTTTGGGGGGGGAGGAGCACAGCGGGTGGACTGTTAAAACTTGAATTGTACGCCCCCAAAAATGTTGAAGTCCTAACCCCCAGCAGCTCAGAATGGGATTTTCTTTGAAAATAGAGCTTTTACTGAGGTCTCCAAATTAAAATGAGGTCATTAGAGGTGTCCCAATTCAGTATGACTGGTGTCCTTAATGAAAAGGGGAACTCTGGACACAGTAACCTCCCCCCCCAGAGTGTCCACAAGGTCTTGCTCATCTGTGTGTCTGTGAGCTTGGGTACTGCTTGAGCCACTCCACCAGCCCTGTTTTTTGAGATTTCATTGCATAGCATGTTGAAGCATGGACCACAGTGTAGAGACATGATGGGACAAAGAGGGTCTGACCTAATGCTGATTGACAGGGGAACCCAGCAAGGCTTGCTGCTGGGATGCTTCCTGCCCCCTGTGCAGTGTTCTTTCCTGTCTGTACAGGGCAGGACCCTTCTGAAATGGGAGTCTGTTATCTACTATCAGATGAGGTGAATTGGAGAACATCTTGAGGGCCAGCTCCAAGGCAGATAAACAGCAGAAGGTTAGAGTTCCTACTGCCTGCCTAGGGGAGGCACTGTGGATGGTACCAAAGTGTTATGTTACCATGTCACAGAGACTGTGTATGTGGTGCAGTGCTGGGGACTCTCAGCCTGGGGACGGTCTCTCACTGTGTGGCACCGTAGTCACCACTCACAGACTCTGATGTGGGAAGGAGCCATAGGTGCTTTCTTTCACCTATCATGTTACAGGTTAGGGACATGCCGTCCACAGAAACCTAATGACTGTGCAGGCCACACTTGGTGCCCTGCCAGGGCCCTGCTGCATCTGTTCAGGAGGTTTCTGTCGTGCGTGTGGCGTGTGTGAGGAACTCTCCAGAAGGTGTTCGTAGGAATGAAGCATCACCAGAGGCCCATCACTCAGCTGCCAGTGACGTGGGTGCTCTGAGCTTGTTTGCTGTCACTGATCCAGTGACTTTGAGTGTCACTGATCCAGTGACACTGATCCAGGCAGCTTTGGAGGGGAAGCTTAGTCGGAAGGAGCAACACCTTGGAGCAAGGAAAAGTCGAATGTTGACTCTAACAGAGCCAGGTCTTTTCCTGCTGAGGCTCACATGCCCTCCTCTGTCTCAGGCCCCTCAGTGCCCCCCACGTGTCGTCCTTGGCTACGGGCTGAGCCCACTGTCATCCAGCATTTGTAAAAACAAACAATGTAGAGATTTAAATAAACTAATTGCCTTTGAACTTGATAGTGTTGTAAACATGCAACTCCAAGACTTTAGGAAAAGTTTCTATTTCTAGCTCTGTCCCAAATAATGGGAGTAGCCCTTTCCCAAACAACCACCTTGCACAAAAATCTCTGGCCCTGTGACAGCAGAAGTAGTTTGACCTGACCTCAAACAGCTGCCAGGAGAAGGCACTGGATCAGACACATGCGTGGGTGCCACCGCTGGTGGGTCTGTGAGCTTGTTGGCAGTGACACATGAGTAAACACATCGTCTGAGCCTGACTTGTGGCAAAGGCCGATACAGTCAGGACATATACAGTGAAAAAAAGAAAAGGCCTGAAATTGCATCTGGCACTACGTCTAAAATGATCCCTTTCCTGGGCCCCCTCTCCTTATTGCTACATTCAGAAAACAACACCACCACCCTGAATCCTACCCGCCATTCCCCTCTTAGGTTCCAATCATTCTCAGATGCTTTGTGCCACCCACCCCTGTTGTCTTCTGCCTGTTGCTTGCTGCAAGCTCCAACCCTCCCAGACACTCAGGAAGTCCATCAGCATCTAAGGAGTACGTAGGCTGCCCCCGGTGGTCCCCAAGCCTGGTCTGACCAGAGTAACTAACAATTATTGCAGAGCATGGCAACTGGGGACCCCTTGTGTGGCTATGGAGGAGCCCAAGGCTGAGGAAGCTTGAAGCTCATCCAAGGTTACAACTCTAGCTGGTCTGGGTCACAGACTGTTCCGAGATTTCAGCTCTAGGCTGGTCCAAGGTTACGAACTTGTTCAGGGTCACAGGACTAGTTGGCCCAATCTCACATCTCTGGGCTTGTCTGAGGTCACAGCACTAGATACCTCCAAACCCATACCTCCAGGCTTGCCCAAGGTCACACTTGTTCAAAGCTCCTGGCATGTACATGAGGACCCAGGCCTTCTCCACCTGCACCTTTTAGCTGTCCTGTTTGCTGCCGGCTCTTCCCTTGCTGTCTTCCTCATTTTCCTTTCCTTCATGTTGTTGACCTTTTCCTCCTCTCCTACTGACTGACATGTCTGCACAGGATGCTGGAAGGGCATTTAGAAGCCCCCAGCCCCCATTTCAAGTCCTCCACAGCCCATTTACCTGAACCCCGCAGGGTTGACACCTGTTAAAATACCCCACCGACAGTGCATCACATCTTAAGGAGCTCAGGGCTGACAGAGTGGCTCAAGTGATAGAATGCCTGCCTAGCAAGCATGAGGCCCTGAGTTTAAGCCCTGGTACCAAAAGAAAAAGAAAAAGGCACATCTTAAAGAATTAGCATCCATGAACACTGACACAGAAAGATTTGAGACAAGGAGAAAGGACTGGGGGAGGCTTCATGGGCGCTCCTACCACCCCCACCCTAGCCAGGAACCAGGACAGGAGAAACAAAGCAAAAAGCCGAGCACAAGCAGTTGGCTGTCAGGACGTGTTTGAGTACATGATCAGGTCACATTCTCTCTCCTTTCTGGGCCTTTGCTGGCCCTTCTCCTGGCTTATGTCACCCCATCCTTCTGGATGCAGATGTCAGCAATCAGCAGGTTCTTCCTGTCCCCAGGGGCACCAGGCTGCACACAGACCTTTTCTGCACCTTTGTGTACCCCACCCTATGTGTACACTGTCTCAGCCCTGTGTGCTCTGCTGAATCCATGTTACTCAGGCAGCAGGACTTCTTCAATTCAGGGTGTAGTAGCGACAGTCTTTTATTGTCTGTCTGTCAAGTTCAATTCAAATCTAAGCCCAGTGGAATAGTAGGCTGATGTGAAATTGCTTTCAGTGAGAATTGGGGCCTGTTTGCTTCCTTAGGATCACAAGAATCTGAGAGGTCAGTGTGGTGTCTGGACGACTAGGAAAAGATGTGGACAGCACCGCTGGCCTCACCATCCAAGACTGGGAAGTCCTGTGACTTGCGGACACCAACTGCAGTGTCTTTGCAGGGGCTGCACCTTGGTTCCCAGGGGTCTCTCAGTGCTTTCAACAACGTGGTCTTAACATCTTTGTGCTCTGTTGGGATCAGGGCCAAGTCCTCATTCATGGGAGGACACTGGCAAAAGGTTTCTCCACTGGTCCTCACTCGCTTCCATGACAGCCTTGAGTGGGCTGTCGTAGCAGAGATGTCTCCTTCGTGAAGCTCTCCGGTAGAATTGTCAACATCTGGGGACAGAGAAAGACGGAAACTCCAGACCTATTCTCAGCAGGGAAACATCCAGAGAGAACAAACACAGATTATTATCTCAATAAGTTATCCCGCCAGGCTTATCTGGACCCTCAAAGACATTCCTTGGACGTAGAGTCTCAGGAGGTACCTTACGAGGATTTAATTAGAAAGTGGATGTTGCTTGTTGACTGGAAAGCTGCAGATTGTATGCTGCACAAGTCTCAAAGATCCCAAACAGATCCCATTTTCTGTTGGGTGTCTTCGAAAGCATCTCGAAGAAGAGGAGCTTTCTCTAATGTGTGCCAAGTCATATAATCCAGTGGTTCTCCTGACCCAAACCTGTACCTTTTTCCATATTTCTCATGCAATTCCTTAAGTGTAACAAACGATAAAGCATAAGAAAATATTGAGGAATCAAAAGTACTTCCTTCCTGTTTGACAAAAATACGGTGAGGTAGTTTGGACTTTTAAAATTCACATAAACCACATCAAGAAGCTTAATATTTCAAAATGATAAAGGAAAAACAGGCTACAGAGATTAGGAAACAGGGAGAGATGCAGAATTCTGAGTTAGATCTTTCTTACCAAAGTTACATCCAATCCACAGTAGGTTAATATCATGTTTGCATAATTTGTGGTTGTTTGTAATTCAGTATTTGAAGATATTTTTAAGCAACTGGTTCTAAAATATTGTAGCTTTTTTTGTTGTTCTTGTTGTTTTCTGTGCTGGGTATGTTTTTGTTTTATTTACAAAGTTTCTTTTTTTCTTAATCTCTTCCTTACTATAATTTGAATCCTTCCTCCTCACTATACCTTGCTAAAGTAGCTTGTGTCTGTGTGAAGACTAGCCCCTGAGTTCAAACCCCAGTGCCACCAACAAATAAATAAATAAATAAGCCCAAAGAACATGACATTAAAGAAAATATTCTCTTCCTTTTGTTTTTCCAGATCATATGGTGAAAGAGCCTGTGGAAGACACAGACCCCAGCACTTTATCTTTTAACACGGTAGGTTACAAATTGTCCTGCTTTGCTCCTCCCCCTGTTACTTTCCATTTTCATTACCGAGCATTTGCCCGAGGATGAGAGACCCCAAAGCAAGATTTCTCCAAGACAGTCTTGTTTATTCTGGTGTCTTATGTGGCATAATAAGTTCTGGGTTTCTCTAGGCCAAACAGGTTGTATCCTGCTCTCATGTGCATACCAGAGTGATCGTCCTAGATTTTGTGACATCTTTGCATGTCTAGTTTTAATATTATTGGTCACCTGTGCTTCCATATGCAAAGTAGCTATGTGGGATCTAAGGGGAAAATAGGACTCACTTGCAGGAGCTGAGCAGAGGTGAACACAAACTATTTCACCAGCCCCTGTGGTCACCCATAATCCCAGGCGTTGGTTTCCAAGCCCACCCTACCCCACTGTCCGGTAACCACTCTGAGGACATTCACAACCAAGAAGTTATTAAAGATTTTTCATGCATTGTTTTTTATCCTGCAAATATCCTGTGAAATGTCAGGGCAGGTGTTCTGATCCTCATTCCGCAGGTGAGGAAGAGGCAGTGACTGGTCTGTGCACAGCCACGCAGCCTGGAGGCCAGCCGGCCTGTGCAGTACTGTTCTGTGCGTCTTCAGTGCCCCGCTGGGACCTGTCCACCACAGTGCAGGTGTCATGTGCACATAGCACAAGACACACACTTTTTGTCCCATGTCTTCCTAGGATGGAATCCCAAGTCCTGAAAAGTTCTGATTACCTAATGACATGAGAGTGACATAAAATGCACTTAATATAATTAGATTTTCTTCCAATCCTGGGTGTCCCAAGGGCTGGAGGTGTTTGTTTCCCTGTTCTTTCCTTACCACTACAGTTTGTGGGTGGTATAGGGTATCAAGATTTTGCACAGAGTGGACATTAATAGGAAAAACTCTGTCTCTTACCACTCATGAAGGTGAAATGCAGGACAACCCTGTGGTCATGGCTTGTGACCCTCCTGGATGTCATCTGTTACTAGAGACTTTGGCTTCTACACAGTGTTGCTCTTTCTGCTCTTCTGAAATCTGTAGGAGAGACTCCCTTCTTGCTTCCCCTAACTGCAGGTGGCTTGTAGAAGCACCTCTGCGTTCTCTCACTCTATTAGTGTGTGGTCATGTTCTCCATGCATGGCTTATCTCCATCTCCTACTCCTTCTCCTCCTCTTCCTTCTTCTTTTTCTCCTCTTTCCCTTCCTCCTTCTCTTCCTTCTCCTTATCCTTCTTCCCCTTCCTCCTCCTCTTCCTCCTCCTTCCTCCTCTTCTTCCTCCACCTTACCTTCCTTCCTTCCTTTTCTTCCTTCCTTCCTTCTCTTCTTTTCTCTTCCTCCTCCTCCCTCCCTGCCTCCCTTCCTCCCTCCCTCTTTTTCTTGTTCTTTCTTCTCCTCCTCCACTAAGGACTGAAGCCAGGGCCTCAAGCATGTCACCACTTAGCTGCACCCTAGTCCTCTCTTATAAAGACAGCAGTCATATTGAATTAAGGGTCCTCCCTACTTTAGTGTGACCACAACTTAACTAATTACATTTATAAAAACCCTATTTCCAAATAAGATCACGTTCTTTTGGGGAGACTCACTTCAGCTGTAACATCCACACTGCTGACAGCATTCAGTGCACATTTCTTGATAGGCGGATGAGGTCCTCTGTGACCTGACCTCAGTGTCCACCGCTCACCTGCCATGCTTGTGAGTAGCTGTTTACAGCTATTTAAATGCACCTCACCTCTCCTCTTCCTGGGACACTGAGTGTGCTGGAACAGCCCGTGGTTCTTCACCTAGTGAACTCCTATGTATCCTCTGGTCTCCACCCAGGCCTTTCAGTATCTCCTCTGTCCCAAGCTTTCTCTGCCTTGAGACATTCAGGGGCTGCCTTTTGCATCACCCAGACTCTACTTCTTATCTGCCTGAACTGTAACTGCTTGCTTGTCTGACTTGCCACACACTGTGTTGACATCCCTGCAGGTGCAAACTGGGCGCAAAACGGTAACAACAGATGCTTGATGAAGCTGGTGACCCCAGAGTCTAGATTTAAATCCCTCTGTTCATTCAGGTCCTCCTGGAAACTGGCCCCACCATTTCTGGTTGAGCCCGCCTTCATCTGCCTGCCTGAGACAGACATCTCTGCTTCAGGCTGATGGGTCCCTTTCGCCTGCCACTTTTCCTCTGGGCTTTGCTCCTGGCATGTCTGCCATCTGCAGTGAACTTTACCTTCCTCGTTCACCTGAATCCTGGGCATCACCTGGGACTTGCTCAAGTGTTAGTACCCCTGCGACCTGAGTCGCTCCAGCCAGTGTGCTTGTCCATGAAGATGTTCCCCAATCTTACTAACCCTTCCTCGAGATCTGGGGATGCAGCAAACATCGTCCCTTCTGGAAAAACTCAGTCTATCTGAGGAAGTGTTCCAGTGCTTTCAAAGAAAACTGATAACAGTGTAGACAGGATGCGTTCCAAGCTCTGGGGACTGAGTGACAAGAAGGGCTTGTTTAGTCTTCAGTAGAACTATTTGACTTTCCAGTTCTCTGGGATTGATTGATTCTGATTTTCTTCCTAATTTTGTTGGGAAGGAGTTGGAGATGTCTAGAGTTTCTGAAACTTTTCTGTCCAGCTGCAAGGGCAGGCCTCAACACAGACCCCTTGATCCCACATTTGCTTCTTTCTCCTCTGTCAAAGGAAGACACTGGTGAGACCTGCAAACTGTTGAGGCTGGAGCACAGGGGACAGGTTGGGAGCAGACACTGAGCAGGACCTGGGGACGGGATAGGGACAGTGGACTCATTCTCAATCCTCTCATGGAGTCTTCAGAGAACAGCTGCACTGTTGAATCTGAAGCAAGTTTTCAGAACACTAGATACCTGCAGCTAGTATGAACAAATTTAAAAATGTGTGATTGATTGGAACAGAACCGGCAGTTGACGTTCCCTACAACACAGGTACACACTCAACAGCGTGGTTAAAGGCTGTGCATTATTGTGCATGATGAGTAACTGAGCTTTGAACACTGTGCCGTTACCATTGGAGGCCTGTCCTAGGATTGAAATCCAGTCATGAGCCCCGCCCACAACATACACTCATTGACCCAAATGACAGCCACAGAAATGGCAGGGAGAAATGGCTCTGCCCCCATAATGCACGCAGACCCATGCATGCATTGGTCCTACTTCCTGTAGGACTGCAGGAAGTCGATAGGAAGAATAGCGCTGCAGAGGGAGAGGAAGTGTGGGCTGGTGGTCAGAGCCCAGGGACTCAGAGGCAGGGTTATTCTGCCTCATGTGTGGACATTCCTTCTCTTCCTCCATTCAGTCATTTGAGACTGAAACAACCAACAGGTCAGGCCTCTTGACAAGCCCCAGGCTTAACGCGTCCAAGGTTTTAAACGGAGACCGTGACTTTTCCCAGACAAAGCTTTCTTTTTTACTTTGATCTTGTAACTGACATTTTACAAATAACTCTCTCTTTTGTTGGTTTCTACAGTCAGACAAATACCCCATTCAAGATACAGGACTCCCTAAAGGTATGTACAGTTAATATAACCTACCAAACTCGTGTTTATTTCAATATTTTTTTTGGCGGTACTGGGGTTCGAACTCAGGGCCTCACACTTGCTAAGCAGGCGCTCTGTCACTTGAGATACTCCGTGAGCCCCTAATTTAATATCTGGAACAAACCACTCGTCAAAGTAATTTTTCATTAGTTAAAATTGTAAAACAGAAACATGACAATACTTTAGCTTGCTACGTGATGATCTCAGAAATGAATTTGATTCAAATGTGTAAGTTATTTTATCACAAATTATGCATTAAATTCCTGTGGTGTTTTTAGCAGGCATGCAATGAAGATAGCCAGGGCTCTGGGTTCAAGTGACAGAAATCTAACTCAAATTCATTTAAGAAAGGGGGACTTGCTGGCTCAGGGGTCTCCAGATGCATTTGAGGATGCTCTTGGACTCAGGCTCTGTCTTCTTCAAGGGTTGGTGCTGTTGTCAGGTAGTTTTTCCCTGCATGAAGGGAAAGATGGTCCCTAGCACTGCTAGCATCAAGCCGTGCTGCTCAAGATGAGGGAGAAGGAGGGGCCTTCTCCCGGCACCCAGAGCATAACTTTAGGGATGACTGCAGTGGGGCCCATCCCTGAGTCAGTCATTGTCACGAGGAGGATGGGGCTTATGGGCCAGGTAAGAGCCTTGAGGTCAGGTAGGGGAGGCTGGAATGAAATCCACCCAAACCCAAGACGGAGCATTCTGTGACTGGGCAATCAGCCAGTGATGCTTGTCAGGCCCAAAAGTGACCCCGAAAAGCTGTCTGTTGTAACATAGGGTCTCCGGTTTGGGCGTAGTGCAGACTATAGAGGTAGCCAGACCCTGGCCTTTCACAGTCCTCGCTCTGGCTGTCTGCAAGGCTAAGGTCCATAATGGAAGCTGAGCTGCTGGCTGCCACACTGGAGCGCTGACCTTGTATTCTGTTGACAAGTCATTCCTAGGCGAGAATGGGGACAATATGGTCTTCCCAGATTCTGAGGTGGTAGGCTCCTGGCTTGCTGGTCTCCGTACGGAGGCTGGTCTGCAGGGCACTGCTCACTGGGGTCTCTCCTACGTGGTGAAAGTTATAGGGATTCCTGCCAGGGCTTTTCAGGTTGGTAAGGCTCTACTTCTCTTCCCACCCCCAGACTCTTCTCCTTGCCCCCTGCGGTGACACCACTAGAGTGACATGACACTCCCTTGGCAAGCTCCCCTCTCCCTTTGCCTTCCCCATGAATGAGCCCGGAGTCTCCAGTCCCCAGCCTGGCATGATCTTGATAGAAGTGGAGGGCACAGGTCAGGCACCGGAGGCAGACCCGAGGCCGTCAGCATGTGACTCCTAGACTTCAGTTTGCTGTCAGTCACCAGGAGAGCATGTTTAAAATACAGCTTCTCGATGACTTGGTGAGTCTGGAGTTGGGCGCAGGTATCTGCAGCTTAGCTCACACCTGTGAACTGGACTCAAAACCCACTTTGAGTGCCCACCCAACATACTTCAAGGAATAGAGAAGAGAGAACAGGACACCTGGCTCTGGGTGGCCTCAGCCAGTGACTCCAGGTGTCAGGGTGTCCATTCCTCCGTGGAGTGGGGAAGACAAGGTTGGCATCCACTTCCCAAGCTATTCCTGAGGCTTCAACAAGCAGTCTAGAACAGTGCTTGGCTCATGTGACCAGCAGCGGGGGGCACTGTGGAACACCATGGAGGAGGACTGTCACAAGCCTCCAAGCAGAGTGGCCAGTGGGACCGCCTTTGTGCAGTGTCAGTGTGCCATCTGCCTCAAGATCTTCTCTTCACCTTTGGACAAGACTTCCTGTTTTGAAAAGAAAAGATTGTTGCCTAGCAACCCGATCCCACACTTACAGGGTGGCCAGGTTTCTCCTAGGATCTGAGTTTTATTAAATTTTAATTAAACTCGTCATGAGTTTGCAAGAAACCATTCTTTAGTTTATTTTGTCTTTATCATGATGAGTGATATTCAGTTCATAATTTCTTATCTCCAAACCAATACATCACGTGCTATGTGAATGAACCAGGCTGGAAGTTTAAAACCTCACTTCCACACGTGCATTTAATAACAGCAATCTCATGCCCGCTAGTATTTTTCTTCAACTTTACCAATGGAGCCAATTCCACCATTCAAGGTTTATGGTAATTTTCTCATTGAATTTGTTTTTAGGGAAAGAAAATTCATGTGCAATGGTGAAGGGGCTGATAATGTATAGCCCTAAAAGCAAATGTAATCTAACTAGATTACGTATCATCTGAGATTCCAACATTTAAATGAATTTGGGGACCCCACTTTAATAGAGGAGTCATGTAATTAGTTTGAACAATTTCCATCTAGTTTAAGAGTCCTCCAATTCCCTTTCTTAAGCAGGTTAAGCTTGTTTCAGAGAGCCGTCCATTATACCATCAGTACATTCCTACTTAACTCACAAGTAGCACGAAGATATTCTTTGACTCAGGCCAACCAGAGAGGTTTTGAATGATGGGGTTTTATAATAAGTCAGCTGGGACATCTAGTGAAGGTTAGTGGTTGGCATCTGGTTTGTTATTGTACCTTTTTTCTCATCAGGGACAAATGCATAGCTTCTGCCTCAGTCCCTCTCCTCCCCTAGTCTGACAGGTTTCAGGGGTGCATTCTGCCTGGCCTCTTTTCTGACAGCTCTATTGCAAGTCTGCAGGCTTGACTCACAGGAGATAGGGTTCTTAATTTCACGTCACACGAATCCCGATCCCTCCTAGGAACTGCTGGCTCGAGCAGTCTGAAGGTACAGCAGCTGTTCACATTTTGAGAGCAAAATGTGTTTGGAAAGAGAGTTTTGACTCTTGAGCCACTCTCACGGTGGGAGATGATTTTGCATAGGTTAGCACACATCAAGATGTATGACCATCTTTGTTTCGTTTTCTTGGGCCTGCTTTTTTTTTTTTGTATTGCTCAAAAATTTTTATAGTGAATTGAAAAGATAAAGAGAAATAAAGTAGACTGATTCTATTGTTGATAATTTTGAGGAATTTGAACGTTGATGTTATTTCAACACTGGGTCCACATCCAGTTGAATGGATTTGTCTATGGCCTGGGTGGGGTGGGCAAACCAGCTCAGGATTTGCTGAGCAAAGCCCCTTTTCTTCTCCCCCCACCAGGGCCTCAGTCCGCCTTGGGGGCAGGGACACACACATAGCAGCAAGGGAAGCAGAGGTGAGGGGACAGGTGGAATTCTCCCTGGGCAGTGAATACCTTCCATTCTGTAGACCTCACAAGGGCCATCCCTGTGCCTGTGCTGGGATGACAGTGGTGCCTGGCACAGTGGCCAGTGATGGTCACACAGGCTAACACAGTGTCCAGAGAGTTCTCGCTTGATCAATGGGTTGCTGTTGAGAATGGAGTAGAAAGCCAGGGGCAGTGGAGGCAGGTCTTGTGGAAGAGGCAGTTGGCTTGTGTGAATGAGTCCGTGGGCCAGCAGGGAACACTGAGCAGAATTGTGCCTGACCCTGATGCAGAGCACGGTGGAATTGCTGCCCTTGTCTTGGGGGAACAGTTGGGAGGGCACTTGCAGTGAGGCTATTCAAGCCCCTTCTAAATTTCTACCAGATGTCATGGCAACTTAATTTTAGGTCTTACACCGGAGTGTATGTTTTCTTACCAAGCTGTGTGTCTTTTTTTCCCTAGCTGAGGAGTGTGATACAATTACTTTGAACTCTCCACAGAATTTTGATGATCAACATCAGGTAATAATAATTTCAATGATTTGCTACCCCTTATGTACAAATAACACACCTAGAATTTATTTTTTAGAGAATGATCTGATAGAACTTTAAAAATAAAGAACAGCTGGGTGTGGTGGCATACACCTGTAATCCCAGCTGTGCCAGAGGTAAAGATGGATTTTGGTTTGAGACCAGCCCAGGCAAAAAATGTGAGATCATACCTGAAAAATAATGAAAGCCAAAAAAGGGCTGGGGGTGTCGCTCATGTTGCAGAGTACCTGTCTAGCAAGCACGAAGCCTTGAGTTCAAACCCCAGAACCACCAAAACAAACAAGACCACTGAGAACTGCATGAAAATTCCCTGCTCACATCTGGGCCTTCTTTGGGTCAGCGTAAGAGTCACTTGTTTCTTGTCCTGTCCTGTCCACCTCTGTTCACTCGCTCAAAGCTCATTAGCAAAAATGCACAGTACCTTACATCTGCGAAACCATAGTTAGAACGTTGGATGTCTCAACAAGCCTCAAGAAGGCTGGTTTGTACCTGCTCCTTTCATACACCAAGTTGACTTTTAACACGTTTTAATTAGTCTTGCTTTTAAAATTATCAGTCTAATACTCATTCGTAGTGATATCCTTGGTTAGTCAGACCATCTCTGTAATAAAGCAAGGTTACATAACAGTTGATAAAATAAGCAATTTCATTGTAAAGAACCAGTTTTCTTGAAAATTGCCCCAGGGTGCTCTCAGCTTTCTTTTGGGGGCTTTAACCATCAAACGTGAACATCAAATTCCTCTTTAGTCAGTGTTTTCCTTTAAATTACAATCTAGCGATTGACTCCGCACTGGCTGAATTTAAGCTACTTTGATTAAACCAAAAGTATAAATTTTTCCTTCCTTATAATCCTTAATTTCTTTAACAAAGTTTTGCTCTTTCATTGTTTGTAACATGACGTAGACTTGTTTGAATGTAAAGGAATGCTGCGTTTATTGGTTTAGTCTGGTTTTAGAGATTTTCAGATTAGATATGGAGTGCACGTTAGTACGCTGCTGCTTACCTGTGGTAATGTAGCTCTTGCTACACCTGCAAAAATGAAATTTATTTCCCAGCTAAAAAGAGTGGGGAAGACGTATTTGAGATTTCTTAAGTTCTGGTTTTTTTTAAGGTTTTTTTTTTTTTTTATTAATGTTGTGCTGGGGGGGTACACTGTGACATTTACCAAAGTTCTTACAATACATCCCAATTGCACTCACCCCCTCCGTCATTCTCCTTTCTCCCCTGCTTCCTGGAACACTTTCACACAGGTCTTCTTTTTCCATTTTTGTACATGAGTACAAAATATTTCCACCACATTCACCCTCCTACACCCTTTCCTTATATCCCCCTCCCACTGGTGCCAACCCCAAGACAGGACCTGTTTTACCTTCCTGTCCTTTGTTTTTTGAAAAAAAGATATTTTTTTCAAAAAACACCCTGTAGAGAAAGTTCTACAGGGCATTTCCTTGTGACATTTCCATGTATATAGGTATTACAACCCGAATTGGTTCATTTCCTCTGTTTTTCTCCTTTCTACCTGAGTCCCCTTCTTATGGTGATTTCAACAGGTTTAAAATTCTATATTCATTCTTGTATAGGAAGTACCATCAACCATATTTGCCATCTTAACTTCCTTCTTGTAAGTTCTATTTTAAAACAGGATGTCTTCTATCCCCATAAAAAGTAAAAGACTGTGAACTAGCTATTTCAGTTGGTTATTTTGTTGTATAATCTGTAGGATTTTTAAATTGCTGGATACCCAGATTCTCAGTTAGCACAGAGAAAACTCATCAGGTAAGAAACATTTGAAGGAGGGAGGGTGAGAGGGAGGGAGACAGAGCTGGAAATGATTTTTATAATTTGAAAACTAAAATCCACTTCCACTGAAGCTTAATTTCTTTGAGTCCTGCATAGGAAAACATTGTGGTGTCTAGAATCAGAAACTAAGGTCCCAAACTTCAGTCATTTAAAATCAGTGCCCCTCCACAGAGCTGTTCGCTCCTACCCTTGATTACAACTGGTGTTTACTGAGCGTATAATCTCGGATCATCTGGACTGAGGGGTTTTTTTTTGTTTTGTTCTTTGTTTTTGGGGGGTTTTTTCGCAGTGCTGAAAGTGGAACTCAGGGCTTCATGTAGGAAAACGCTCTGCCATTGAGCCACACCCCCAGCCCTTAAGCTATTTTTAGGCATCGTAAGGTGAGGGGAGAAGGGGGAGAAGGTAGGACCAGCAGAGGTACACACTTGCTGGAGAGGAGTACACCAGAATGAAATTCCAGGACACAGGCATGGCTCATGTCTTTAAGTCATTTCCACAGTGTTTTCAAAAAAGAAGAGGGCCAGGTGTGAGTGGCTCACACCTGTAATCCTAGCTACTCAGGAGGCAGAGATCAAGAGGATCTCAGTTTAAAGCCAGCCCCTGGCAAATATCTTGAAAAAAACCCACCACAAAGAAAGGGCTGGTGGAGTGGCTCAAGTGTTAAGAGTGCCTGCCCAGCAAGTGTGATGCCCTGGGTTCAAACCCCAGTGATGCAAAAACAAACAAACAAAACCCCTTAATCACACAATAGCATTTTAACTACTGGGCACTTACAACCATATGGCTAAGCAGGACAAAGCAAAATTTGTTCCAGTTTATAGCCAAGAACTCATGCCAAGGATACTCAGAATAAGTTAGAGTTATGGAAAGAATGACATTTTCCTCTACGTTGTTTATTTGGTTTTCAAAATTAAGGTTTTTGGTTTTTTTTTTTTAAATTTTAGAACCAAGTGCATTAATTATCTGCTCATTTTGCTATTACAAAAATATCCTACTACTGTAACATGTTAATAAGAAAAACTGCACATAGGGCACACAGGAAGTCTTTATACTGTCTTCCCGAATTTTCTGTAAAATAAAACTATTCCTAAATAAAAACAGCTATTTTGAAAATCACACAAAATAAATCTTAAAATTATACAATCTATAAAAATGAAAGAACACATCTGCAGTTCCATTCTACTACAAATGTTTTCATCACTCTGATTCATGCCTTTCTATATTTTTCAATGCATTATTATAAAAACTGCTTGCAAATGATTTTATATTATTTCATATTCTGGTTTTATTATTTAATGTCTTGTCATGTGCCATTGTGCTCACTGGAAGTATGTTAGGACCGTCTCCGATATAGAAATGAGTCTAGGGTCTGAGGCCAGGGTCTCATCCTGCTGGTGATTGGTCCCCGTGCACAGGCTCTGAGGAGAGAGGTTGAGGCAGAGTGAACTTGGCCTGGAGCTGAAGCCGTGTATTGGCAGATCTTAGGTGATGGACAGAGGAAAGTTGGGGTCAGAGCCTTGAATGACAGTGACAGATAGGTGGAAAGTATGGGAGTCTTTAAGTGATGGTGCTATGACCATGGAAGGGAGCCCATGGAGACTGGAAAAGAGATGAGACTAGGTTTTAAGCAGTGACAGAGAAGTTGCTGTTAACTCAGGAAGGAGACCAGATGTGTGTGTTGCCAGGATTGAGTTTTGCTTGTGGGTTCAGAAAGAAAAGGTGAAGGTTGGTAGACTTTGTGGTGCAACGGCCTATGCAGTGCCCAGCCGGTGGGAGAAAATGCAGGGCTAGGCTTTGGTTTAGGACCTCCTGCATCAGGGGGTCCCCCCTGACGTCCTGGGAGCTGAGAAGTCCCAAGGAGCTTGCGTGATGTAATTCTGAGAAGCACAGCCACGCCAGGCAGCTGAGAACTCCCACGCCTCTTCAGAGGCAGGGCTGAGGGAGGGTGGATGGGGAAAGGTAGGTGTAAGGACAGGAAGTCGAGTTTTCTGATGTCAAGTCTGAGTTGTGCCTTGAGTGGTGACGTTTGGGCGCAGCAGGAGTGAGGACGTTGATGCAGGTTGGGAAGGTGGCTAAAGAGTTCCGTTCACGCAGCAGGTAGGTCACAGGCCTGGTGAACTCGGCAGGGGTTCCATAGTGTTTGATAAATTGGAAACTGATTACAAGGTGATGAAACAGTCACCCCTCTTCTGTCAAGCACAGTCACGTGCTGCTTAGCGACATTTCTGTCAGCAGAGAACCACATTCACGACGGTGGTCCCATGACTACCCTGCTTAGTAATTTGAACAGTTTGCCTAACTCTCTGATGCTGGCACAGTGACAAAACAGCCTGAGGATGTAGTTCTCGTTAAGTGACCTATGACTGCCTATGAGAGCTGAGGACGTTAGAACCAGCCCTCTCTTAGGTGCTTCTGGTCAATATTAGCAATTAAAGTCTCTAGCCAAGAAGACTGAGAGGGATATTTTTGGGTGTTCCCAGAACACAGGCTCCACAGGCAAGTAAGCTAAGCGGTCCCTATGTAGAGACCCTCAGCACATACACACCGAGGGAAAACCAAGAGAGAAGACCCTTGCTCAAGTGCACCCAGCAGGTAAGCAAACTTCATTGACCAGGGAAGACTCATCTCGTCACCTCTGGGTAGGTGCTGGGGTGCAGCTCAGTGGTGGGGCACTTGTCTGTCATAAGCAGGGCTTACCTGTTAGGCCCCTGCATCCAGCATTTTCTCTAAACACGACTTTGGGCAGCGCTGCCCAAGTGAAGGTCTTGCGTGCCAGGATGGAAGTGTGGACGTGACCTCTCAGATCCCACAACAGAGTCTACAGAATCCTGGGAAGGTTCTCCTAGCAGTGGCTTGTCTAAGGACTGAGTAGGAAGGAGACTGAAGCTGGGTGCCGCCGAGCACCAATTGCCATCCTAGAGATGTGACCTCAAGGACCTTGATTCAAGTCACGGCAGAGAGAATGAGGAGAGAAAACCGCAATTCAGAAACGTTTGCATTAGTGTCTGAGGGCTGCCATGACTACGCACCACAAATGCGGTGACATAGGTGACTGAAACTCACTGACTCACTCTTCTGGAGGCTGCAGGTCTGCGATCAGAGAGGTATAGCAGGGTCATTCCTTCTGAGGTGGCACAGGCGGGACCCTTCTCTCTTTGGCTTGTAGATGG